ATAAAGTATTACCACATGTATTAGTTTCCTAGGGCTGCTATAACCGAGTGTCACAAATGGACTGGTTTAAACCCACAGACACTTATTCTCTCACAGCTTTGGAGGCTGGAGCAAGATGTCGGCAGGGCCCTGCTCTCTCTGTTGTCGCTAGGGGAGAATCTGTCCCGTGCCTTTCTCCTGCTGCTGGAGTTGCCCACAGTCCTGGCATTCCTTGGCTTGTGGATACATAGTCCAGTCTCGGCCTCTGCCATCACACGGCCTCCTCCCTGTGTGTCTTCACATGTCCTCCCCGGGTGTGTGTCTGCCTCTGCGTCTCTTCTCTTCTTATAAGGACACCAGTCATATTGGATTAGGCCCACCCTAATGACCTCATCTTAACTTGATTTCATCTGCAAAGAAGCTATTTCCAGATCAGGTCACAGGTACTAAAGGCTAGGACTTCAACATATCTGTTTGGGGGACACAATTCAATCCATAACACCAAACAGCAAAATAGTTGTGGATTTGTATTATGTAATAATCACTATAAAATGAACACTCAGACCACTTTCTGTATGTCCTCCAAGTACCCTGCTGACTGTTTATTTCCCCACATAGCTCTCATACACCCAACCTGTAACTTCCTACGTTTCCTATGACCCCACCAACTGGCACCTCAGAGGTTACGGCAAAGGCCACTGAACAAGTGGCCTGTATACATGTGCCTGGCAGGGGCAACAGTATTGATACTATTCCAGTTAGCACCCACGATGACTGAGCTGGCTGAGGACCACTCCTGTCTAAGCATGTGTTGTTACATCGCTTCAGGAAAGGTTCAGATAATGAAACAGGAAATCTCCAAGTTAGCCATATGTAAGGCATGAATTTGGTTCATGGTTCAGTGTTCACGTGTCTCTCACATTGCCAGGTAAGACCATGGAGGAAAGCAGGAAGCATCCAGGGGAGGTCTCTCAGACCTGTCCCAGCTCATTTTAATGAAACTGTTCATAACAGGCATCGGCAGAGACGGTCCCGGGCAAATGGGGCATATGGTCACTCTGTCTAGACTCAGTCCTCAGACCTCTTCTTTAACTACACACGCTCCCTCAGTGACCTCATCCACTCTGGTGATGTTTATCAGTGAGGTCTCCTAAATCTACGTTTCCAGCCCAGCCCTCTCCCCGGAACTCCAGGTCGCAGATGCAGCTTCCCTGACGTCTCCCCTTGGTTGTTTCACAGGCATTCACTCAACGGAACTGTGCTTCTCTTCTCCGTCAGCAGCTCCATAGTATTCCCCATCTCAACCAGTGCTGACTCAATCCTTCCAGGGCTCA